TTCCAATTCATAATCCCTATGGGTAAATTATGAAAATAATATGATATTTTATCCTGATTAATTATATTAAATATAATAAAAGATCCTGTGGGATAACAATTATTATACGAAATATAATCCATCACAATATGATGTCTAATTACTTATGTGATCCTTATTTTAACTTTATATATAATTTTAATTAATTAAGGATGTTGTGGCTAATTCTTAATTAATTAAGATTATATGGATCACTAGACATTTTAAACATAAAAAATTTGCTCATAAGCATATTTTAATATAACTAAATATGCATACATAATATGAGCATTTTACCGACTAAAAATGTTGAAAATGATATTTCCTCAAGATTTTCAATAAAATATATCAAGAAGTTTCCAAGAAGAAACCAAAATCAAATCATTTTCATGGCATAAAAATGAAAACTTTTTCATATCAAGGCAGAGGTCATTCGGCTCTGATACCAAATGTAAGAAATTTTAATGAAGCCAACTTGTGTTTCTAAATCATTGTAATAGAAACACAATAAAACTAATGCGGAAACGAAATAGCGTACCTCCAGCCATTGTTGCCAAGAATTTCTGCAGAGGTTTCTTCTTGAACTTTGGTTCTTCTCGGTTCAGAACTCTCGCTTTAGATTGTGTAGGAAAGCCTTTCGCTTCAAAGAGATGATTGAGCCAAGGGACCAAAATCCTCATGTATATATAGATGTTCTCCCATCAAGAACATTTATCATCACCAACTTATAACGTTCAAGAATTAATTCAAATTTGTAACGTTTGGACCATAATGAAGAACTTAATGATATTAAATTTTTAATTTAATAATAACGGTTTCATGCATAAAGAATAAGAAAATGAAATTATTTAAACCATAATAAATGAAGAAATTCATGATAATGAATTATGAATCTTAATGAGAACGGTTACGTTATTATTAAATAAGATATTTAATAATAATCGTTACAGAGTAGTGATCATATGAGTCTTCATATCTGATTGGCTATAATTAATGAACTGCAAAAACTAATTATTGCTCCTTGTTAATGCAGAAGAGTGCAAGCAAATCAATGGGTTCATCAACAAATTTAGTTCATTTATTACGTCTGACTCATGCTCATTTCACATAGAGGACTGGTTGTTGGTGTATGGTATCAAATTATGATTTAGCCTATTATATGCCTACAATTTTTATTTTCAGACTTTGGTTTCATAAAAAATATTATAAGATAATGCTATGATCTTATCAACGGGAAGGAAATTTTGCTTTTTTTTGTTTCTTCTATGTTTTAGGCTAACAATTAGACCCATAATATTATAAGGCTTCATCCTTTCGTCTTCAAAATCTCAGTTTGCATACCAAAGTCTAAACAATTCTACAAATTGCAAAGTAAGTCGAGGAAATATATATAAGCAATGACTGGCATGGCTAATCAAAATATCACTGTGCTTATTCCAGTTTATTTTGGCAACGTACATAGTTCATATAAATCATTCATTGCCCAGATATGCTATCTTTTGAATTCCTTACAGTATGTGTAGTCTCATTCCAACTTCTCAATGCAGCTGCTGTGGGTTCATTTTCTGTTAATTGCGGTGGGAAAGAGTTGTCTTTGTCAGGAATTGATTTCTTTAGTGACACTACACCTCTAGGAATGGCAGACTTTTACATTAGCAGTAACCATCGATGGGCTGTGAGCAGTAGTCAATCTTTCATTTCAAAGTCCAATGGTTCCAATTTTATAGTGAACACAGATGAACCCATGCCAAAGTTATATCAAACAGCACGAATTTCAACAAGGTCCTTGAGATATTATGTGGTTGGTTTGCAAAATGGAACTTACAAGGTGGAACTCCTCTTTGCTGAGATTGTCATGGATGATACACCATCTTGGACTGGTCTAGGAAGGCGGATATTTAACATTTATATTCAGGTACTTTCTAGATTTGAATATAAACTATTGGGAGAAAAAAGGTGCATGAGATAACTTCATTGCATTTTGCTTATGTGAACAATGTGCAGAATCAATTAGTTGAACAAGATTTTAATATAATTGCGGAGGCAAAAGGATCTAAAAAACCTTATAATAAGACCTACAAAATCACTGTTGCCAACAACATATTGGATATACATTTGCTCTGGTCTGGAAGAGGAACTTGTTGCATACCAGCCGAAGGAACTTATGGGCCATTGGTGTCTGCAATAAATGTTACCCGAGGTTCTATCTTCAACTGTCATTTCTTCTTTATTTTTGTTTTTATGTGCAACATAAAATAGCATTCTCTCTGCTTGCTTTTCTGTTTTACCAGAAGATCATTTCACACCGTCACCAACATCATCAAGCAACAATGAGAGAAGGGCTGGAATTATTGTAGGAATTGCAGCAGGCTGTGCAGCTGCTGTGATAATACTGTCATCAATTGTTTATCTGTGGTGGAAACGAATTGATTTGGACCATGTTCAAGTACGTACAAATACTTCAAAGCAAAGTTGATATGTTGCACGCTATGTTGTTCATTATATCACGCAATGTATTATTTGTAGGAATTGTCTATGTTTCTTTGTGTGTTCATATGAATACTGTCAATTGATCCTTTAACATCTCTAAATGTTTTACCTGTAAATGTGTATTTGAGTTTGGGATGCCGAGTCAATGTAAATATGACTTTATCATAATAATCTTTGTATGTAAACCCTCATTGCTGACAGGTGTTATCTTAAAACTTAATTTGCCTGTGATCACGGTGCATTCTTATTTGATGCCTGATAGTTTAGTCCAAGAAGTGACCTACATTATCGAGTTGAGATTGTATATGATCATTTCAACTGGTTTAATACCTTCTTCAACTATGTGATCTTTAACTATTATTTTTTTTATTTTTTGGCTGTTCTTTAATTATGTTATTGATGGTATATGATTAAGTGTTAATTGTTGGGTTGATAGAGAGCCCTTTTATTGCACAAGGAACTATCTATCTTCCACCAGCCACAATTATTATTTTCCTTTTTCTTATAAATTCTCTAAACAAATTTCTTTCTTTTGCTCCTATCTGTATCTTAGGATGTCCATAATGGAAGAGAATAAAGAGGGTTTCATTCATCTCCATTTCTGTTGAGTACTTGGGAGCTTTTGCACTGGTGGCTTTGGCTATTGATGCTGATGGCCATTTGAAGAATTGGGTATCTCAACATCTAGCAAATGGCAGCATGAACATAAACAGCTTCTCTTATACTGAGAGTCTTAGGACAAACTCATTGATCTTTTAACCCTCCTGATTCTGTATCTAGAGTTGGTCCTAATATTCCTCACTCAGGAATGCAAATGGTTGATGAGACATAAAAGTAAATGTTGTCATGAGCAATAGCTAAAGACAAGGTCAACAAAGAAGTGTTGGAAGATCTCAGATGGCAGCTGGGGATATCAGGTGAGGTAAATGGGCATTCCACTGGCAACTACTAGGTAGAGTCCATGGGAGGTTCCATTCTGTCACTCAAAGCAGATACATGCAGAAAACATGACTTAGTTCTCTACAGGAGACACCTCTGTATCTGAAAAGATGTTTGATGCTTTGGTCCTACGTCATGAGCAGATGCAAAAATTAGGTCTTCTCTGCTCTTCTATATAGCAAACAATGCAGATGAGCTTGATAAGCAGCGAGGAAAAAGAAGCAAAGATTATATTGCAGTAAGTGTATGGGTAGCATGTTAAGAGTGCTGGTTCTGAAAGATTGTGGCATTTCATATTAAATGCTGCAAAATTATTTGAAGGTTTAAGCAATTCTAATGTATAAGAAAAAGCTGCAACCTTCAATGTTACAAACATCTGGCCTCATGAACAGAGGAGTGATAACACACCATGAAATAATCACTGGTGGAGGAGGTTCATTCCAACTGATCATGAAAGATAGAATGAGATAATGTTCTCTCAAAGTTAGAAGAAAATGGTACTGATAATACTCTGATAGTTCGTACCGAGTGGTACATATCGGTTCGTCAACAGATTAGTATACGAACCATTCATTATCAGGTGATACGCTTGATACAGCTCCGTATCGGATGATACAGTTTGTATCAGGTGGCAATGATCGAAATTTTGACCATTACTAATCTGTAATGCATTCTCTTTCTTATTCTCACGTTTGCTCTCCTAAACTCTACAAAACAATGATTTGTGAATTAAATCGAGGTTTATTTGAGAGAATTTTAAAAAAATTAATCAAGAGGTATGTATTTTTTTCTTTAATCAAAATTACATATTTAATATTTCTTTCATATGTTTCACATATTTATGATGATAAAATAGGTTTAATTATATTTTTATTAAAATTATTTAATATTATGATTAGTGATTTTAATGATAATTTAATATTAATTTTGGATCAATTCAATGTCTTTATACCAATTAGGGTGTTTCATATGTTTATAGTATTAAAAAAATTAATAAATAATTAATTATATTAATCATGTGATTAATATATTTAATGATGATTTCATCATAATTTGATATATATTTGATCAAAATTATAAATTTTGCATAAAGTTATTCCTCTGAAAAAGATATGTGACACTATTCTTATGATTTTACTAAATCTATACTAAAAATTATATCCTAACCTTTTCTTTCAGGTATTTTTGGAGGATTTTATGTTTAAATTAGAGACGTAGCATATGATATCGAGCAAAGCTCGGTACATTGGTACAGTACAAAATTTTAAATCTTAACATTAGTTTCAGATCAGCTGTACCTATAACTTTCTGCTAATCTCATATCAGGCCAAGAACTGAGATCATAGAACAGACCACAATCTTAATTGTTCGATAGCATCAGCACCAACGTAGTATTATTTCCTGTGACATCGATAAAAATTGGAACACAACCAAACTTTGGCTGAAAAATTCTAAGACACATCATGTGCAAAACCAGCAGAACCTCTTTTGTGTTTTCGTTCAAGAGGAAGTGGCACTAATAAGAGATGTTCAAACATCAAAAACCAACTCTCGGCTTTTCCGGGTCCAAAAATTAAGGAAGAAAACTCATGAGCTACCAAAAACACTTTAGGATGAACTCTAAGACTCCTCTACTCAGCACAAGTGATCCCTTTTTCTCATATCATTCTCCAATCTGATCAGATCCTGCAAGTTCTTCAAAACTCTGAAATATCTATCTCTATACAATGGGAGTAATATGTCACTCTTCATAGTTCACCTAAAATCCTCTCTTCACATAGTAACTCTCTGATTCTAAAACCTCCTGCTAAATATGTTCAGCAGACACTTCCCCCCATGTCCAGTTACAGCACTCTGACCTCCCATCTTCTTCACAGCTATCTCCAGCAGTAGCAGATACTGCTAGATTAGATCCAGCTAGCTGAAGAGGGCTTTGAGGAGAGCCAGAAAGTGAAACACTCTGCTGTGGTGAAGTAGTGTAATTCTCTGGAGGAACCCACAGTCCTCTTAAAACCACAACTGGTTGATCAACAATAGGTGAAGAATTAGGCATTTTTCGCGCATGCAACCGATATTTCTGAGGCAGAAAACAAGAACATCATGTCAATTCAGTGACAAATAATGGAGATTAAGAATTAGGAAACCACGAGAAGAAAGATGTAGGATTTAGAAAGCACCTGCAGGTGGCTCTTCACTTCATCATTGGTGAGGCCATCCACCTGCATCAGTTCCCTGATTTGTTTTGGAGTAGCCACTGCGTCAAGAACATCGAAATCAGATCAGTCGTGATGGATTAACTCCGGCATAAAAATAACTACAGTCAGATCATTGTAAACAAGAATCATGAATGCCTTGTTCCTTCAATATACTTGTACATATTTCTTTTCCGGTTACCTATGTCAAGGAAATTAGAACTGTAGTATGAGAAATTTTGAGGCTATTCTTGATACGTGAGAGAATACGAGAAATTAAGACAACCTTGAGCACCACCGAGTTGTTCGAGAGCAAGGACAAACCGGCGATGCAGCTCTGTCGACCAGCAACGCCTTGCTTTTCTTGGTGGCTGCTGCTGCTGCACCTGCAAGCTAAGGCAGGTGCCTGCCATCGCCAGGGCCGATGCCGCAGCTCCACCAACTCCCTGAGAACCCGAGAGACTGAGAGAATGGTCCTCCGCGGCGGCAGAAATAGGGCAAAAGGCGTTTCTGACCGCAGGTGACTGCAGAGGGAGGTCAGGCAACATCACTCTCGGCTTCACCTCCTCCTTAGAGTTCATCACAAACGGAGACATGCCTTTAAACGGCACGAATGCGCCCACCGGCCTCCGGCTTTTGGATTCTGAGAACAAGCTCTCCTCCTCACGGCGAGCGGCTTTTGCATTTCTCTGCCATCACAAGCAAACAATCACTTCAGAAGGAAACAGAACAACACAAAGCATCAAAAAAGCGGAAGCAACTTAATCCAAAGAAACTGCCATCAAAATTCCTCTTATCCTCTATACCTCTTCTGTGATGCTATAATCATCCTTATTGTTATTCACTGTAGTCCACAGCTGTGCGGAACTCATCCAGCTGGTCTTGTTCTTGCTCTCTGATTCCAGCTTCACCCCTCCCTCCTCACCGCACTTACTGTTAATGGGATTGTGCGCTTCGCAGGCACGAGCGAATCTCTCGCCTCGGCACCTCTCAAGCTCCTTCTTCAACCCCTCTATTACTGCAGCTCAAAAAAATTTCCGACGAAGCATAAAAATCCAACTTTTACATCAAAAATCGCTCAGAAATCTAAAAATTACATAAACTCCGTACCATCAGTGATGAGAAGCATACAGAGAGGGAGCTCGCGCTTGAAAGCCTCGATCTTTCTCCTCTCCTCTTCCAGACTTCTCACGGACTCCTCCAGTTTCGCGACCTTGCTGTCTACGCTCTCGACCGCGGTCACCGCCTCCTCGAGGAAGCCGCCGACGGTTGTCATGGCGCAGAGATTCAGGTCCAGCCCGATACCCGCCACCGACGGTCCCATTTCCGTTCTCTCTCTCTCTCTCTCTCTCTCTCTCTCTCTCCTCCTTTCGCAGATCTCCAGCCCTGTGGAAGATGAGAACAAAGTTGAGAAAGAGCGAGAGAGACGTCCATTTTTATACACACCACAAGTGAGGAAGACAGTCGGACGAAACCCGTCCGGTTCAGGTGAACCGGGAAACATCAGCCTCGAGTCCTCGCGTAACGCGTCGCGCGGAGACACGCGTCCCACGCGGCGATCCGAGTCGCCGAGTTGGATCGGAATCTTCTAAGTTTCTTTTACTGTTTTCTTTTTCATTTTATTTCGATCGGTGTTTTTTTTTTCTTTTTTTTGGTACTTGGAATTTTGAAAGGAAAAAGATTTATATTATGTTAATCTCTAATTTCCAACATCAATGTGGACCACTCCCCCATAATCATAATTTCATAGCTTAATAATGGTCAAGATCTAACATAATCACCTTTCAAATACATGATTTATTGACTTTCATGACATATAGTGGTTGACAATGGATCCAATTTAACCTGTGTTCTGTATAATCAAAGAGATGAAAGAACAAAATCTTCTTTTCCATCCTCAATTTCACATCACACCCATTTCAATTCTTATTTTATCTTTCAAAATATAATTGTTTTCCCAAATTAATCCCCTGAATTTTTAATTTTTTCCCCCTTCCAACCTAAAATGAATTGTTAATCATCCATTAGGCAATGGCATGCTTGTTATTTGAAGTCAAACCAAGAGGCGTTTTAGTTAAGTAAACAACAGCGTGCAAGCGCCTCATCAAATCCCAGCCAGAAGGCGACACGTGGCGCGTACAAGCTACCCTCCCATGCACGCTCTTGTCGTCGTCATGACGTGAATTGATGCCCTTTTTTTCCTTCTTTAATTATAGTTCGTACCTTTTGATGGTGCAGAAAACACGAAGATGGACGGACAGACTCCTTCTTCTTCGTGGGATTTCCTTCTTGTCCGCCACGTGGTGGAAGCACGTTCGTTGATGTTTCTTCTGATGTCGATGTTTTGCACAGATACCGCAAATTTAGGGTTCAGAAGGTTGTTTGGGTATGCGTGCTATATTCTCTCATAATTATTCTGACAAGATTGGGGGAGAGAGAAAAGATTCTTTGTAGTAGCTAATGGACAATCCGATAGTGTCATCAAAGATTCCTCTTTTCTTTTTTTCGTTATTTTTAATGGTACAAATATGCATTTGAGGCTACAGGGAATGCGAGCTACTGTCATTATAAACCTAAAATTCAAATCCAATCTACTATTTAGACATCAAATTTTGAACCAATAACACCACATTCATTATCATCGTATTAATGGGTTAATCATCCTATAGAATCATATGAATGATATCAAAATTATATTAGGAGAGAGATTTAATTTTGAACCGATGAGAATAGAGAAATATCTATTATTATATCATAGTACATATTAACGGTATAAATATGAGCTTAAACCACAATTATCATTGTCATCTTCATTTGGTATTAATGGGTTAATCATCCTATAGAATCGGATCGTCATAAGAATGATAACAAAATTATATTGGAAGAGAGATTTAATTTTGAACCGGTAAGAATAGACAAGTATCAATTCCACATCAAGTTTTAAGCGAGATAGATAATGATACCTAATTTAGTCTCATAATACGATGTTGATTTAAGAATAGAGAAGTATCAATTCCACATCAATTGATTTAAGAATTAATAATAAGATGTTGGATTTTTGTAATTTTCTTAACTCATTTGAAACTCTTAAATTGTGAATGGTATACATATTCTTTAAATATATCAAGTATAATGAGTTGATCAGTAGATCCATGTACATATGAATTTATGTATCGATATGTAAATTAAATATTAAATATTTAATTTAATTTTTTTTGTTGATATACAATGTACATAACAATTTTATTAATCATTTACATTTTAGTTTAAACCTTTAAAGTTAAAGTCAAACATAAAATTAATAAACCATATTTTTTTTTTTTTTGGGACAGTCAAAATGACTAATTTTGGAGAGAAAACCAAAATTCGAGGATTAATTTTATGAATCTTCTATCAAAATACACTAAAATCTATAGTTTCAATTACTAGAAAAGAGCTTTGGTGTATAAAACAAGTTTTTGTGGTTAGAAGCAAAGCTTAGCCACTAACAACATTCATTGCTACGAAATCCTTTAGTAAATGGAAGACATTCTAAAGCTAATGGCCAATTTTTTTGTTATGAATAACATGCCTAATTCTAATGGGACCTAAAAAGTGTTCTATGAGTGCTATGTGGCCATATAATCTATGGAGAGGGTCTCAATTCCATTGGAAGTGAAGGAAGGATAAGATATGTACTTTTTAGGTTTCATAGTGACATTGGAATCTCTTACCAACCTAACGTTATTTCGTAGCTAAGGGAAGCTTTATTGTCAAGAAAACCTATGATTTCAAGAAAGATAAATGATCGAACGATATGATCAAATAATAATATTAGTATAATATGCTTCAATATCTACTTGAAGGCGAAGTGTGTTGAATTAAGAGCAGATAGCAAATACTTTTATTATGATCTTTTATTTCTATTTCCTACTAAATATTTTAGAAGGTATGAGTCTTCGTATCATAGTCAAAGTTTACGATGATTATTTTTTCTAGGAAAAAAAATATATTATTCTTGCATCTTAGATGATATTACTCTGACGATTGATAATAGATTCTGAATCTTCACTTTCTACTTATTCTTCGAAAAGAAATAGAGACCAATCTTATTGATGTAAAAGAGGTTAAGACAATGGTAATAGAATAAAGGTGATCAACCAAACACAAAGAGAAAGAGAGAAGAGAGAGAGAGAGAATTTGGAACAATGATCAAATCATTAAATCATGATCATCTTGTGAAAATTTTATTTGGACATATGCCGGAAAGCTATTTCCTTGAACCTCTATCTCAATAGCCTTATGGTCAACCTCAGCCAAGCCAATCGAGTGATGCATTGATGTCGGAAAAGAGCCCTTTATATTTTGGACCACCAACCATCTTTGCACTGCATGTGAGCACAATATCTTGCATCTGACTTAGAAAGATACATCGGACCCATTCATTCTACATGAACAGGAGACAGTGGACATTGTGCACACCCCTCCCTCAACTTTTCCTATGTTGGCTAAGAACAACATCTCCGAATCCCTCCTCCACTTCCCTTCTTTTCTATGCTTTTGGTGTCCAAGTGGATCATCCACCATGTTGCTACTTGTATCAGCTTTCGACCTTTTCGCGAAAAGGAGGCATCCATGAATCATCGATTGTTGTTAGGCAACGAAGATACCATCATGACTCGTGAAGAATCTTTATTATTATTATTATTATTATTATTATTATTTTTATTATTTTGAATGATTAAATATAATTATAATAGTTTTATGATTATTCGAATCGAATTCGATAAGAAAAGTCCGTATCATATTAAGTCCGATCGATCAATTTCATAAAATTGAAATAATTTAGTTAGTCAACTAAATTATGATGAAAAAAATCTCTAAAATAATTTAGTTAGGCATTAGGCACATGAAATGGAAGGAATTCGAAACATGTCTAATCTCATGTGAGACCAAGAAATTTTGACCATGGAAGTTGTGGGAGGAAAAAGAATGATAGGATGTGAACCCGTTGAAGTGTAGGAATGAGATAACCCGACCAAAGATGGAATTGATTTGACCTCTCGAGATTTCATAGATTCTTCAAAGGTCGCATGACCCCATGTAAAACGAGACTAATTATTAACGAGGTCTGAAAACATGGCACCCAATGTAGCAATCTCGGAGTGCAATTATACCGACTAAATGCGAATATGCTAAAAGAAAATTAATTATAACATATCGTAAATAAGTGGTGGTCATTAATAATAATAATAATAATAATAATAATAATAATAATAATAATAATAATAATAATGATAAAGACCTCATTTGGTGGCATTTTTGGTCAAAATCATCTAAAAATAGTTATGTATGTATATATACATATACTATCACAATATTAGACTTATCAATTATGTTGAGTCTGAATTAATGGATTAAAATATAATAATAATAATAATAATAATAATAATAATAATAATATATTTATTAGACTCTTATAAGTTGATCTTAGTCTTAACTCATTTATGATGTGAGACTAATATGGATATTAAGAAAAACCATATTAGATATCTTTGTTGTCATATATATATATATATATATATATATATATATTCCTCTAGAGTTAATGATTCTCATAATTGTTCTTTAAATTTAAGTTTCATAATGTCTCTATGGTTAATCATCAAGGAATTTGATTCTAAAACTTTACTAGGTCAAATTTTTTACTAGATAAGTGATTTCTTAAAAAATATATGAAATAAGATATTAAATCATCAATATTTGATAAATAGATTTGATATATCATCATCAAACTTTAGATCTAGTACACTAGTATGTATCGATATTTTATAGAGAAAAAAATGATAAAAAAGAGGAAGGGGCAATGGAGGAACAAAGGAGAAAAATTGAGGAAGGAATAATGAAGAAAAAAGAAAGTGAAGAATGAGGAAGAAGACAAAGGAAGGGATGAGAAGGAAGAATACGAGAAGAGGCGGGAGGATACTTGGAAAAAAAGGAATAACGGTAACGGTATGAGTAACAATGAGACTATGATAATGACAACGACAACTACAACGACGATAAGGGAATCTTAATTTGATTCTTTTTTCAACACCAAGTTAAATGAGTTATATTATTTTTTTTTAATTTTTAATATTTTAAACGAATGATCAAAGTGATTCGTATACCTACTCAAGTTTGGATTGATACATATCATTCGTACTATATCATTTTAGGTGGTACAATAATACTTTGATAATGTCAAGAATAAATTATATTATATTCTATATATTTTTGGTCGAGATTAATTAATATTGATCATAATTATGTGATTACAGCAAAGGGGTATTTACGGGAGGATGAAAGAATAAATATGGTATCATTAAGGTGTACAAGGATCGATGTGTAAAAACAGCCGAAGATTCGATGGTGG